TTTTCGCCTTCTCTTCTCCAGGCTGAACCCCCCCAACTCTCCCAGCCTGTCCTCCCAGCAGAGGGGCTCCAGCCCTCCCAGCATCTCCGTGCCCTCCTCTGGCCCCGCTCCAACAGCTCCGTTTCCTCCTGCTGTTGGGCCCCCCCGAGCTGGAGGCAGTATCCCAGGTGGGGTCTCACGAGACCTGTCATTTGTCACTCTTCTGATAGAACCACGTGTTTCTAGCGTGAAGTGTGAGTATCCCCTCGTAGCCATCCCCGGGCGCGGAGGCTGGAGCGGGGAGCCGTCCGTGAGCCGCAGGAGTGAGCGATTTGCCCAAGGTCACTGAGCAGAAGCTGGGAATAGACTTCAGATTTACAAGAAGGGGTTAATGGTGGATTTGGATTTGTAGCTGGATAAGGCAGATGGTTGCAAGCAGCTTAATATGGACTTAAAAGATCTCTCTGCTGTGAACTTCTGGCCAAAGTGAGGGATCTTCTCTTTTTCAGGCTCCAACACGTACGAGGAAGCGGCTGCGTACATCCAGTGTCAGTTTGAAGATCTGAACCGGAGAAAAGACACCAAGGAGATCTACACGCACTTCACCTGCGCCACTGACACCAAGAACGTGCAGTTTGTGTTTGACGCCGTTACAGATGTCATCATTAAGAACAACCTGAAGGAATGTGGGCTCTATTGAGAAGGAAGGGATGCGGGAAGAAGGTAGGGGAGGGAGGGGGGAAGAAGGTAAGGGAGGGATGCGGGAAGAAGGTAAGGGAGGGAGGGATGCGGGAAGAAGGGAAGGGAGGGAGGGATGTGGGAAGAAGGGAAGGGAGGGCGGGATGCGGGAAGAAGGTAAAGCTCATGGCGTTTGAGCGTTGCGCACCAGCTCAGACGGGCTTTGCCTTGCTCCTCGCTAACGCTTGCTGTTTTCTTCCTTTTCAGCTTTTTTTTTCTTTTTTTTTTTAAAAAAAAAAAAATAAATGACGTGGCGTTTTTGAGAGCCAGACTCTTTGCTGCCTCGCGGGGGACAGCTGCAAGCATGAAACAGGACCAGGGAAACGCAAACAGCATGCAGAACCGTCGCATTCTTTAGCACAATCTTCTGTATTAGGGACCTTTTTATTTTTTTTTTTAATTGAGATGGATGGGATGTTGAAGTTAGGTCAAGACGGAACAACTGTTAGTGGGACTCGATCATCCCGGCGTCGTTGGGACGGCGTAAGCTCCGATGTGTACAGCTGTTGTGAAGTTGAGGTGCTGGATTCCAGACCTTCGATATGTAGCTTTCTCTCTTTCTTCGGTTAACAAACCACCACTAGTCTGTTTTTAAGGGTTACTTCTTTAGTTTTTTGTTTGTTTTGGTTTTTTTTTTTTCCATCGAGAAAATGATAACTTTACTAAATTTTAGTTCTTTATTTGCAAATGAATCTTCTTTTAAAAATAATAAATAAATTAAAAAAAAAAAAACAACAAAAAAATAAAATAAAAATCACTTAACTATGCACATGTGACCAGATCATGCAGAAAGTATTCCTCTTAGCAGGAACTCTTTGTTTTTAACACTTGGTATGGTCAGGATTTAATATTTCTGCAACTACTTAAAGGATCCGTAGAGCTCTTACGGCGCTAGCTTCGCCTTTTTTTCTGGTGTGTGATTTGTCACCATCCTGCGACCGTAAGGTTTTGGTATTATTTTGTTTTGGTTTGTTTTCAGAAGGGGCTCGGGCAGCGGGATGAGCGAGTCTTTTTAGCTTACGGTTAGGGCTGAACCTGGTTTATGCCGATACCCACATCGAGATTTCCTTCTGCGCGGTGAGCGCAACGCCAGCTTTCCCGGCCAGCGCCTGCCCGACCCGCCGCGCTTGGAGACGGCGAAACGCTGAGCTCCAAACCGGCCGGGAACCGCGTGCTGCTACAGAGCTACTATAAATCAACCACTTTTAGATTATTATTTTTTTTTTTTTAGTTGTTGTTGGGGTTTTTTTGTGTGTGCATTTTTTTTTTGGTCGAAACCGGTGGGGCAGTTTTGTAAAAGGGGTGCACCTTTTTCTGCATTTACCATGGCCTTTTCTGTTCGGAGCCTCCCAGACTGTATCGACGAGCATGCCTTTACTTTGTATATGTGGTGCCAAAATTCCTCTTTGCCAGCGTTTTTAACCGTAGGAACGGTCGTTAACCGGTCAGGACATTCCTTTGCTGAACCATTGCATTGAAACTCTTCCCTCCCCCCACCCCTCCCCAGTTCGTCATGTGTACAGTTTCGATCTGTTATAGTTGTTAGCAGTATTAAAATGGTGAGTAAAACAGTTTTGCCTTTTTCTGTGCTTTATTCTTAGTTTTCCCAGGAGCGTTTCCTCGCACACACACACCCCACACCCCCCCCTAACACCTTTTGGGTTTTGGAGGAGGAAGGGAAGAGCTTTGATGGGAAATGGGTGTAATTAATGGGCTGGAAGGTGCTTTATCGTACGCGACTCTCGCAGAATCACAGAATGTTCAGAGTTGGAAGGGACCTCTAGAGATCATCTCGTCCCACTCCCCTGCTGAAGCAGGACTGCCCAGAGCACATCCCTCAGGACTGCATCCAGGCGGGGCTTGAAAACCTCCAGAGAAGGGGACTTCCCCCAGATCGGGACAAAGCGAGAGAGAAGCAAAGAACAGCAACGGGCTGCAGGGCAGAGACAGGAAGAAAAAAAGCGGGACAAGGATGAGGAGAGAAAGACAGAAAGAAAAAGACAGGGGCGCGTAGAGCAACAGAGAAAGAGGGACTTGGAGAAGAGAGGGATGGGGAGCAGAGCCCAATAATAGATAGGAGAGGTACAGGGAAGTGAAGACAATGACACAGAGGGAAATGGGAGGGGGGCCAGGGAGGGACTGGGAGGCAGAAGAGGGCTGACACGGCCCCAGGGGCCTGGGATTCACCACAGCGCCCGCTCTCTGCACTGCCAGCAAATTCTAGAGTTCAGGCACTTCTGTCTCTGTCTGTCTGTCTGTCCTTCCCCCGCTTCCTCTCCTCTAGCTCCGCCTCACGGGCGTCCCGGGCCTCCCCATCACCTGGGCAAAGGCTGCACCTCCCCACACAACATGGCCGCCGGGCAGCCCTGTGCCCCAGGAGTACAGCTCCCAGCATGCCCTGGGGAACGCCTGCTCCCAGCATGCCCTGCGGCGCGCCTGCCTGCCCTCCGATCCTGCGGGGACACCCTCCCGGGCAGCCACCATGGCCGCCTCCCTGGGGCTGCCCGGGCCCAGGGCCAGGCCCCGGAGCCCCTGTGGGGCTGGGAGGAGGCGGGGGAGAGAGGGGGAGAGCGCCAGAGAGGGGTGAATTAAAAAATGGGGGCAGGGAGCCGGATGGAGAGTGATGAGGAGAGACCAAAAATCTCATTTATGAGCAACTGCCTCCATTTCTTGAGCACTCAGGAGCCTCAGGGCGCTCTTCAAGATTGGGGTTGTGCTGCCCGGGTGGCGAACGGCCGCGTCCCGTCGTTCATCAGGATTACCCACAGATGGTTAATTTACTCCTTCTTTACAGCTCCGGTCTCACTGCCCCTTTTGACCCTGAATGTGGGGGGAAGATGACAGCTCTGGATGCTGATACGGGGCGCGGATGTGGCCCGTTTCAACGACGCTTGCCTCGAAATAACAGAATTATGCACTTTGGGGCTGTTTGTGGGCGCTGGAAGCGGTTACTCCGCGCGGCACCGCTACGATGAGCGCTTTTCTATTCGGGGAAGCTTCCCCGAGCTGCCTGGAGCTCTGCTGGCCGCCTGACGGCTCCCCGCTAGCCGGCCACGGGGCTTTACTGCGTCTTCACGCCAACGCGGGGGACAACTCACCTTTTTAACTGAATTTGTGCAAACCTGCCCCGTAATTAATCGCTCCCTCGATGCTGGAGCAGCAGTAGAAGCCCGGCACTGCGATGGTGGTGGTTTGTCTCACGCCAGTGTGAGGGGGCTGTGGCTGGAAAGGGTTTTTTTTTTTCCTTTTTGGCCTGTGGTTTAGAGGCCGAAGGTTTAGCGCATCCCCTGAGAGCTTTACGCTGCTGTCCACGGCCTCGGGAGAAGGGAAATCCACCCCGCCTGCTGCCTCGGCACGGGATTTTTGGTTTTCCGTGGTTCCCAAATTGGGTTTTTGGGTGAAATCTCAGAAACCAGTTTGGTTCACAGCACGATGCTGAGGTGCCGCGCTCCCCCGTCCTGCCTCTTCCCACGGGGGAAGCTTCCCGCTTGCTTTATTATTCTTTTTTCTTGTGGCCCGGTGGCACCTGTGTCTCCGTGCCCAGTGGTGGCCCCTCTCCGCAGCACGCGGGGCCACCGGTCGCCGGCGGTGGTGGGAGATGCTCGTGCGGAGCGTGATGGGAAAGGGGGGTAAAACGTGGCGGGGGGCAAGCGCTGGGAGGCAGCGGGGGGAGACGGAGGTGGGAGAAATGATGAGACACCCACGTCATGCGCAGTTCTTTATTGGGATTTTCCTACAGACAAACGAAGCTGTTGCGGGAGGGGGTCCCCGCAGCGAACACCGAGAGGATCCGGGACGTGTCTACAGGACCGGCGTAGCTTTATTTACAAACAGTAAAGAGCGAATACAGCTCTAAATAGCAGAACGACAATCTTTCAAGTAACTATTTCCTCTTTATCCGCCCCATTCCTCTGCTCTGGGTCCTTCCCCGAGACCCTCCCGCACCGGCTCCTGCCTTCGCTCGCTCACCCGCAGCTACAAATTCAGGCACAAAAAAA